AGCTCAATTTTTTCTGGGAAAGGCTCAATACTTATCAGCACCCCCTCGTATACCCTTCCTGTGGTGCCACATCAGTACAGTACTGTATTTTGAATGTTGATTGCCAGCAATAATTAAGGCTATTGCTGCTTCGAAGATTCGTTTCCAAGGTAACTGTAACCCTCTTTCTTTCCCCATTTATGCCTCCAAGGAAATGGATTGTAAATCCACAAAAATCCACACTGAAATACATTTTTTTTTAAAAAAATCCTTGTCTTTAATTTATTGCTACATCATTTTGGTTTTTATTTTTAACTCCTTCTTATACATACTGACACACAGCATGCAACACAACTGCTTCTTTGGAAATTCTTACCATTTAAAAATGCTGTTCTGTCCTGTCAAGTTGCCTCCCACCCTGTGCCCACCCCTGATGTATGGCAACCCTATGAATGAGTGAATCTCCAAAATATCTTGCCAAAAAAGTCTTGTTTCAGCTTGTATTTTAAAATACTTTTGATCAACTCAACACATATTTTGGGTTTTCAGTCTTCAGAAAAAAAAGAAAAACTTCTGAAGGCGCGCCCACACCTGATGTATGGCAACCCTATGAATGAGTAAATCTCCAAAATGTCTTGCCAAAAGTCTTGTTTCAGCTTGTATTTTAAATATTTTTGATCAACTCAACACATATTTTGGGTTTTCAGTCTTCAGGAAAAAAAAAGAAAAACTTCTGAAGGCTTATAAGTTGGGGAAGAAGGCTTCATTCTCCTGTTATGTCTGAGGAAGTGTATTTGTCCACTTCACATTAAAATATAAGTCTTTAAGAGACCAACACTTCTATTTACTTTGTTTTTTATTTTTTTTGTTTGTTTTTACCTATAAAGAACAATTTCCCTGTGCCTGGGGGGAGGGTGCCAGAATGGGAGCCCAATCGCCTGTGTACTCATTAAACCAGAAACTCAAGATCAATCCGTTTCAATTCAGAGGAATTCTCTGACAGCCCCTTCACTGGAGCGGGGGGGGGCTTTTCAACTCATGCGCAGTAAACGGGCCAAACCACTCATTTGCAGCATTAGTTGCCTCCAGAATACTCCCAAATCGTTGTCCCTTTTCAACTCATGCGCAGTAAACGGGCCAGTAATCTCTGAACGACACCCAGGTAGCACACCAATCCCCCCCCTCCCAGCGGGCAGCACACCGGCGGGGAACTGAGTCGTGACTCCCGAAGCAACGTAAAGCGCAACAGCCTGCCCCCATCTCCCTCTTGCTCGCATGCGCACTGAGCAGAAAGAAAAGCCCTGAACGTGAGCCGTAAGGCCTTTTCTGCTTCGGCCTAAGAGAGGGGCGTGGCCCTCTGCTGGTAACGCCCCCCCTCATTGTGACGCTACTGGCTGCGAGAGCGACGCTAAGCAACCAAAGGGAGAGAGAGCAGCGGGCCTGAGCCGGGATCAGGTCAGCTTTTTTATTTTTTTTAATTTTCTGGCGTAGGTCGGGCTCACGTGCCGAGTCACGGGTTAATAAATAGAAGTGTGAAGCTGGGTCGGGTCGAGTTGGAAGGGGGCCGATGAGTAGCGGCTGCGGAGTATGTGCCTGTTCTAGTCGGCTTGTCCCCTGTAAACTTTGGGAAGGGGGTGGGCACCTCTCCTCTGGGCCTGTCCTCTTGTTTGCACAACCGTCTTGCAAGGTAGGTCAGCCAGGACCAGAAAGGGGAGGGAGGAAGAGGAGGACAAGGGCAGAGGGAACGGCCGAAAGATGCCTGCTCCGAAATCTTCCGCTGAGCTTCGTGGCAAAGGGGGGAGGATTTGAACCTGGATCTCTTCCGGTCGTAGTTTGGTCCTCTTAACCCACATGCCATACGGTTTCCCTGATAGTACTCGACCGTATCTGTGGAGCCTTAATATAGTTGGGGGACCTTTAGTTTATTTGTTCGGCTTACACATACAGTACTTAAATCTGCATTTGTGGAAGCCTCTACCCTGGGCGGTTTACACAGGGTCAAAATTCCCAACCCTCAAAACACCACGTTGTCAAGGAATACAACTGAAAACAATAGAGCCGTACAGCAGACAATAATTATAGCCGTAAATGTGAATAACCTTATTTTAAAAATCTCAAATTGAGTGAAATATACAAGCATTCAGCTCTGTTACATGGATCTTGCTCATGATTTCGTTAAACGCTGTTGGGTCCCTAGTTCAACGTTCTCTTCTCCCTTAATCTCTTATTTTCTTTTTTGCCTCTGTGCCTGAGCAGAGTGCTCTTCTTCTTGCCTCCTCCTTAGTGGTTTATTTAAAATAAGGAAGAAAGTAATGGTGTCTGCTCAGAAGTGGGTTTGTGCCCCAGTTTGTGAACCGAAGCCACCAAGGGCAGTATGTGTTTTGTTGGGCTATCTGATAATCAGTATTAGATTTCAATTTGTTACTTCCCAATAAGAGAGAATTGCTGGGATACAGTGAGAAACAAAGGCAAATGTTTTATCACTATAGAATGTTGCCTGTTACATTGGTGTATGATTTCTTGCATCACATCACTCAGCCTGGCGGGCCTGGGAAGATTACCACAGTTTCTGCCCTGGCTGTTCAAGGCGGTTTCTTTGATTCATTTATCCACTTGTTCCTGACACAAAGGCGTTCAAGAGGAAAACCAAGAAGGCAGTACCATTGTCAGGATCTTGTAAACACACAAGCTATTTAAGCTTTCAAGCTTTGTAGAACTTCTTGTTCAAGCTAGAAGCGGAGGTGAAGGCTCCAAACTTGCCTCCAGGCAGAAAAAAAAAGGAAGGCTGTAACACTTGTTGAGCCAGACATCCTGGAGAGTGAAGTCAAGTGGGACTTAGAAAGCTTGGCTAACAACAAGGCCAGTGGAGGTGATGGCATTCCAGTTGAACTGTTTAAAATCTTAAAAGATGATGCTGTTAAGGTGCTACACTCAATATGCCAGCAAGCTTGGAAAACTCAGCAGTGGCCAGAGGATTGGAAAAGATCAGTCTACATCCCAATCCCAAAGAAGGGCAGTGCCAAAGAATGCTCCAACTACCGTACAATTACACTCATTTCACACACTAGAAGGTTATGCTCAAAAATCCTACAAGTTGGGCTTTAGCAGTATGTGGACCGAGAACTCCCAGAAGTACAAGCTGGGTTTTGAAGGGGCAGAGGAACTAGAGACCAAATTGCTAACATGCGCTAGATTATGGAGAAAACCAGAGAGTTCCAGAAAAACATCTACTTCTGCTTCATTGACTACGCAAAAGCCTTTGTGTGGACCACAACAAACTATGTTCTTAAAGAAATGGGAGTGCCTGACCACCTTATCTATCTCCTGAGAAATCTATATGTGGGACAGGAAGCAACAGTTAGAACTGGATATGGAACAACTGGCTGGTTAAAAATTGGGAAAGGAGTACGACAAGGCTGTACAGTATTTTGTCCCCCTGCTTATTTAACTTATATGCAGAATACATCATGCGAAAGGCTGGACTGGAGGAATCGAAAGCCAGAATTAAGATTGCTGGAAGAAATATCAGCAACCTCAGATATGCAGATAATACCACTCTGATGGCAGAAAGCGAGGAAGAATTAAAGAATCTCGTAATGAGGGTGAAAGAGGGTGACGCCAAAAGCAGTCTGAAGCTCAACATCAAAAAACCCCCTAAGATCATGGCCACTGGTCCCATCACCTCCTGGCAAACAGAAGGGGAAGATATGGAAGCAGTGACAGATTTTACTTTCCTGGGCTCCATGATCACTGCAGATAGTGACAGCAGCCACGAAATTAAAAGACGCTTGCTTCTTGGGAGGAGAGCGATGACAAACCTTGACAGCATCTTAAAAAGCAGAGACATCACCCTGCCGACAAAGGTCCGCATAGCCAAAGCTATGGTTTTTCCAGTAATGATGTATGGAAGTGAGAGCTGGACCATAAAGAAGGCTGACCGCCGAAGAATTGATGCCTTTGAATTGTGGTGCTGGAGGAGGCTCTTGAGAGTCCCCTGGACTGCAAGGAGAACAAACCTATCCATTCTAAAGGAAATCAACCCTGAGTGGTCACTGGAAGGACAGATCCTGAAGCTGAGGCTCCAGTACTTTGGCCATCTGATGAGAAGACTCCCTGGAAAAGACCCTGATGTTGGGAAAGAGTGAAGGCAAGGGGAGAAGGGGACGACCGAGGATGAGATGGTTGGACAGTGTCATTGAAGCTACCAACATGAATTTGACCCAGGCAGTGGAAGACAAGGAGGGCCTGGCGTGCTGTGGTCCATGGGGTCATGAAAAGTTGGCCACGACTAAACAACAATAACAACACTTGTTAATTATGACTCCCTGCAGAGGTTCATGAACAAACTCCTGTTAGAGAAATATTTTTCAAGTGCAAGCATTCAGTCCTTGGCATGGTAGGACCTGCAGTGTGAGGGTTGTATGGTGCCCCTCTCCTCCCTTAGCATTTTGACATATTGTTTAGCTTTCAGTGTGAGAAGTCCTGCTTTTTGGTGAGGATTAGCCCTGCCTCTGTTTTTTTTCTTTTCCTGTTGCTGATCTGGCATGCAGGCTGCTAAAGTATTATAGCTTCTATTTTATATTCACTGCATATGTGTAGCGGAGAGATCGCAACAAGGAAGTTTTAAATGGTTGAGTTTACAGAAACTTGAAATCACTTTCTGGGTACTCCTTAAAGATTGCACTATGCAGTGTGTAATTTAATTTAATCTGGATTTGACATCAGGGAATGAATTGTTATGGCCAGATCCGTTTTCTTGTCCTGCAAGGGCTTATCACACAGTTAAAGGCACTCCAGCTGATCTGGTTGTACAGAGGCAATACTGGATCCTTGTGTGTGTGTGTGTGTGTGTGAGAGAGAGAGTGAGAGAGAGAGAGAGAGAGACGGTCTGGCATTCCTTATAGTAGCTAATGGTACACTGTCATTGTGACTTCATTTTATTTCTATACAGCATCATCTAGTTTCTGTGCTGACCTTTACACTCTTGCTAACAGGGGTGTGTGTGTGTGTGTGAGGGTCTGGCATTCCTTATAGTAGTCGAGCGCAACCCCATCTGAGATAATCTTAATGCCTAGCCTGAATACGCAGACACCCTTCTGCCCCCAGATAGCTAATGGTACACTGTCATTGTGTCTTTTATTTTATTTCTATACAGCACCATCTAGCTTCTGTGCTGACCTTTACACTCTTGCTAACCCGGCACATTAAGGCTATGTCTTAGAAGGCACAGAAAGTAGAACTGGATAAATGAAGAGTTCTTTATTTTTCTTGATCTTCTTGTGGTTGACCAAGGCTAGCTGTAACATTTGATTAGAGGTTGGAGCCCCCCTTTCTATGACTAGATAAGGAAGGACAAATTTTGTAATGTCAGGAAAATGTGCAAACATGTTTTGTACTGATTCCAAAGTTCATTTTTGGCGCAGAATAAGGTGGTTAGGAATGAATGCAGAATTCTAGATGAGGGCTTTTTTCTTGTTTAATGAGCCCCTCTGTGCCCTGAGGGTCTCTGGGATTAACTTGGTGGGAAGAAGGAGCTTTTGCTGTGTAACGTTTTGTTTGCTGTGTAACATTTTGTTCTCTTTCCCCTGTAGCTGCTGGATTCTTTCCCCCCACTACCCCACTAGCTCTTTCCATGGGGTCTTCGCAGTCGCTGGGCATGAGTTCCTCCTCCAGGCAGCAGAAAGAGGAGGAGGAGGAGGAGGAAGATTTGCTTGACAACAAGGAGGAAGACATTGCCAGGTTCCCCTATGTGGAATTCACTGGGCAAGACAGCATCACCTGTCCTTCCTGTCAGGGCACTGGCTGCATCCCCACAGGTAGCTCCCTTTCGGTATACTTTGCTATTCTCTTTCTAGGACAGGGAATGTCTCCTGTAACACTGAAAGCCAATGTCACATAGTGGTTAGAGTATTGGGTTCAGAGGCCCGAGTTCAAGTTCCCACTGGATGTGAAGTTCCAGGGTCACCTTGGATCAGTCATGTGCTCTTCCTCCCTCCCTCCCTCTGACCAACCTACATTCCTTTGAGCTCCTTTAGGTGAAATAGAAAGAGAAAAAAGCAAACTTCCCTCATCAGAGTCCTGAACTACCTCTTGCTGCTCCCCATATCCTATATTCAAAATTTCCTTCTTGCTGACTTCTCCTGCTATACATCCCATCTCAGAATGTCCTTGAAAAAAATCCTTCTTGATCAGGCCTAGTTGAGGGTCTTGAGGAAAGATTGCCATCTCTAGTGCGTGGTATGGGTTCCTACTTTGATTTGCCTGGAATAATGCATGTTAGGCCATTTCCTTTCCTGCCATGGTATTCAAAGTTAGTGACTGTTGACCTCCTCCCCATTCTGGATGCTGATCTAATAAGACTGGGCTGAAACAGAGAAGAAGGGAGAGAAAGCTTTGCACTTCTTTTTAATTATTGTTAATGGGTTTTTAAATCCCTTTCAAAGCACCACTGATGCACTATGTCAGTTCACAAAATGAAAAAGAAAATACCCCACACTTCCCCTCTGCAGATGAATGGCAAGGAAGCTTTCCATTTCTCATTATTGTTAAGTAGTTTAAGCAAAGCGTGGAAGAGGAGGCGGGGGGGTTGTCTGTTTTCTTTCTCTTGAAAGGAAAAGAAAATTGGTCTAGATCAGTAGTTCTCAACTTTGGGTCACCCAGGTGTTCTTGAACTGCAGCTCCTAGAAACCCCAGCCGGCAATTTGTGGTGAAGGCTTCTGGGAACTGCAGTCAAAGAACACCTGGGTTACCCAAGGTTGGGAACCGCTGGTCTACGTTGTATTAATCTGGGTTGCATGATTCACAGTGTGGTCCATCCTTGCATGTGGATGCAAGGATTGCCCCAAATGACATACAGCGGTACCTCAGTTTATGAAAGCCTCGATTTACGTAATTTTCAGTTTATAAACCAAAATCCATAGAAAATAATGCCCCATTTTAGGTTTTCTTTGTTTCTTTTTTTCCACTGTGTGAAAGGGCATTCCCCAGGATGCATTCCGGGTATTGGTTTACAAAATTTTCGCAGTACGTAGTCCCGGAGGACGTATTAATTTTGTAAACTGAGGTACACCTGTATTACGTCTCAAGGCAACACAGTTTAGTATGATCTAGAACAACCTAGGCCTAGGTAATTGGCCTTGGGCTTGTCACAGCCTTGGTTTCCTTCCAAGCGAATTTTCTGAAGAAAGTTAATGCTGACTCAGACCCAAGGCCTAGTAGCATGGGGCCAACCAGAGGTCTATGACCAGCCTCATAAAGAAAACATGAGCTCATCTTTTCACTCTTGTTCCCCAGCATCTGTTGTTCTGACGCCTGCTTTTCTAATATTGGAGAGAACCTATAGCTGGCATGACTAGTAGTTGATGTATCTCTCTGTGAAACAGCCTGTGACATGGACAGCCTCTCAAATCATCATTGTCATTATTATTTTGTGCTTTCTCTAGACCATGTTAATGAGCTGGTAGCTCTGATCCCATACCATGACCAGAGGTTAAAGCCTCAGAGGACGTAAGTACAAAATGGAGGGGTCGGAGTCATAAGAATGGACTTACATTTTGGGCCGAGAGATGAAACATTAATGTCCTGGCTAAAAATAACTCTTGCTGCCACAATGTCTTGCTATTTGAGATGGCTTGTCTGAGCAGAGCATTTTCTGATTGTAACTGGAAGTCTTCCCTGGTGAACCAACACCATCAATGTTGAATGAACCCTAGTATTATCAAGGGAGGAACTCTGATTTGTTTCCTAAATAGTTAAGTTGTAACTTCCTTTTAAAAATGGAAGTATTTTTAAAAAAATTAAAAATATGTATGCATTTATTTCACCTTGGTGAAACTCCCACGTATGAGCAATAACTAGCCAGGGAAACTCACCTCATTGTGGAAGCAGAATATTTTATCTTCAAGCACAGTTGAAGAACATCTGCATTAACCCTTTAATGTATCCTTCAAAAAGAATGTTGTTGGCTCTCTAAAGATGGACAAGCATGTGGCTGCTCAGGGAGTTCTCAGGAATTGGATAACCACTTCCAGTGCCATGGTTCAGTCCTGTAGAATCCTGAGATTTGTAGTTTATTAAGTACTGAAAATTCTGTGTTAGATGGTGTGGTATTCACCCTTATTATGTTAAATAAGTCGTGCATTATTCATGTTTTATGCTGATGTGGTTGAGAGGTGGGGCCAGTAGAGATGCTAAAAGGTGGAGCCAGAGAGGAGGAGTAGAGTTCAGAGTTAGCGAGAGAGAGAGAGAGAGAGAGAGAGAGTTTGGAGATCTGTGTAATTAGTCTGAGGAGTAACCTGTGAGATTTATGAGGTGAAATAAATGCATACATATTTTTAATTTTTTTAAAAATACTTCCATTTTTAAAAGGAAGTTATAACTTAACTATTTAGGAAACAAAGATTGATGCTTGTTGAACCTGAAGTAAATGTTTTTGAATTATTAAAGAGACATCTGAAATTAATAAATCTGTTTTAAGAAAAAGTGATAACTGAATGGACCTTCATCTTTCCTAAATAAAGTACGTTGATTTAGTGATCAACTGGTGGCAGCATGTGAAAAGGTGTTTGGTTTGCCTTCGTGTGCCCTGTGTTTGGAAGAGAAACGGGCCACGAGGGGCAAACGTCACTATTGGTGTCTAGTGGCGGGATATGAAGCAATCCAGTAAAGCCTGAGTTTAAAGTGAATTTTTTTTGAGTCAAGGGTACCATTTAGTCAGAGGTCTGTGGTGAAGAAGTAGGTTACCTATTAGAGTTTTGAGAAAAGCTTAGTGGCAGGGCTTCTGATCTGGGGGACTAAGATAGGGAATGACTCTGAAGATAAAAAATTCCTGTTTTTACCTCAGGATTTGAGAGACCTAGTGGCTAGCTTAAGATCCAAGGCTCTGAGCACTGGTCGATAAAAGCAGAAGCCAGGGGTCAGAACAGATCTGAAGGAATAAAAGAAAAAGCAGAGGCTTGAAATAGAAATTTATTTCAGTGAGTGGAATTAGAAGAAAGACAGGTCGTTTTTAAATTCAGTATAAACACACTCAATACTAAGTAACTCGGACAAATATGCCACCCAAAAGAACTAAAAAGCCCGTAATTGAAGAAACAGATGATCCTCAAGAGGCACAAAGTTTACCTCAAGAAATGGAGGGAAATGGAGACCCTTTAACTCCAAGGGAACAGCAAGAGACTGAAGAGGATGCCTCAGAGGAACAAAGGGATCTAAGCTCCCAGGATTTTGAAAAATGGAAATTACAAGAATTTAAATTGAAGGAATTGGAAATTAGAGAAAAAGCTAGGGCTGAGGAAAAAGCTCAGGAACTACAGCTCAAGGAATTGGAGATTAAGGAAAAAGCCAGAGCTGAAGAGAAAGCTAAGGAGCTAGAGCTCAGGGAACTAGAGATGAAAGAAAAAGCTGAGGAAGAGGCCAGACAAATGGCATTTGAGCAAGAAAATAGACAAATGGAATTAAAAAGAGATGGAATTTCAAATGGAGATGAAACAATTGGAATTGGTTTCACACAGTAACAACAATAACAGCACTAGTGAGGGATATTTCTCAAATTGATCTAAAGAAATTTCCCCAGTACAGTGGTGCCCCGCCTAGCGAAGGTTAATCCGTTCCGGATTAACCTTCGCTATGGGGAAACATTGCTAAACGGAACGGAAAAGCCCAAAAGTTCCAAATGGGCCCAAAACTCACCGTTCTGCAATGTTTCCCCATCCGGCCGTGGCCATTTTGGGTGTTCCGGCGGCCATTTTGGAACCGCCGAACAGCTGTTTCCCCATCGCAATGTGAAGATCGGTAAGCGAAATGCTTACCGATCGTCGCAAAGCGATTTTCACCCTATTTTACATTAGTGATCGCAAAATCCGCATTGCTATGCGGATTCATCGTTAAACGGTGTGCTCGTTATGCGAGGCACCACTGTATAGAAAAGGTGACTGCCTAGAATCTTTCCTCATTTCCTTTGAATGTGCTTGCTGGGACTTTAATATCAGGGGTGATGAAAGGATGATAATGCTGAGATCACAAATAAGTGGAGATTTGCTTGGCATTTATTCTCAAATTCCCCTAGATCAGGCTAGAGATTTTGAAGCCTATAAGAAATTGGTGTATTCTAGATTTGGGATAAATGCAGAACATTTGAGGAGGAAATTTTGTCTCCTTACCAAAAAGACTGAAGAATGTTATGCTCAACTGGGGGTTAAATTGTTTCAGTATTTGGCAAAATGGATGGAACGTGAAAATGTCACTTCTCTTCAGCAGATGAAAAATGTGATTGGGTTGGAACAATTTTATTCTATTTTGCCTGGGGAATTGCATTATTTAGTCAAGGACAAAAATCCCTAAAATCTATTAGAAGCAGGTGAAACAGCAGATTACCTTGGGGAGATTTGAAACAACAGGTTCTCTGAGGTAAATTTTAACAAGCTGAACTGGGACAACAATAAGAAACCCTTTAATAAAAATTTCCTCAGCAAAACAACAGGAAAAGAAGGCCAGGGTAGTACTTTACCTAAATTAGTATGGCCTAGTTCTCAGACCCAAATTAACCCTGAGGAAAAGTTAAAGTTGTACAGATCTCCCCAGAGTGAGCGAAGAAGATGGTGTTATAACTGCGAAGAGTTTGGTCGTTTACAGTTCACTTGTATGAAACTAAACTTAGGAATGAGAAGGATGATAATCAGACCAAAAAGGTTTACTGTTTAAAACCAGTTGAAGCCACTGAGGGAGGCTGTAACAATGGTAGTTCTGTCTCCATGGCAACTGGCATGACAGAAAATTCTGATCTGCCACTAACCCAGGTTGTTCATTGTTTTCTAGTAAAGGCAGAAGATATTTTAGTTCATAACCCTGGTGAGAGGATTCTTATTAATGAAAGGTCTTATGTAGGAGTGGTTGATACATGTTCTAACATAACCCTGTGTCATCCAGAGGTGATTCCTAAAGAACAAATTCTCCCAAACCAGGCTGTTACCATCAAGGGAATAAGTTCTACTCCAGTGATTTTACCCATGGCTAAAGTGAAAATAAACTATAGAAATTGGTTCGGAAATTGGGAGTGGCAATTTCTGATCAAATTCCTGCACCTTGTTTAATTGGGCTAGATCTCACTAAGCATGTGCAGAGTGCTTTTGAAGTAACAAGTTCCCTGAGAGGGCAGTTAACAATCCCTGAGGGAAAATGGAATCCCAAACCTCTGAATCTAACCAGGGATGCCCCAAGGTAGAAAAGAACCATGAGGTTATTTTGAAAATCCCTAATGATCCTTCCTGTATTGAGGAACAGATGGAAGATAGTACAATGGTGCCCTGCTTGACAACGATAATCCGTTCCGTTAAAATCACTGTTAAGCGATATCGCCATCAAGCGAAAGAAAAAAAACTCATCGAAATGCATTGAAAACCGGTTCAGTGCGTTCCAGTGGGCAAAATACCTCATCGTCCAGCGAAGATCCTCCATAGGGGAAGCCATTTTAGGCTGCTGTCTTCCGGAAATAGGTCTGGAAAACAGCGGGCGGCCATTTCGAAAACCGACGAGCGGCTGTTTTTGATCGTCCTAATGCGAAGAATCGGTTCCCGAAGCAAGGAACCGATAGTTGTAAAGCGAATTTTCCCCATTCAATCATCGTTTTGCAATCGCAAAAAAAATCGTGAAGTGATTTCGTCGTGAAGCAGGGTAATAGTCAAACAGGGCACCACTGTGCTTTGAATGATTGTACTACAAAAGTTAGAATCCCATTCCACTGACCCCTGAACACCCAGAGGTCTATGACTGATAAAGACCTGACATATAGAGAGTGTTTACATTTGATAGAGCATGTTAAGAGTGCTTTTGCACTTACACGCTCACAAGGGGGCCAGGAATCACCCACTGCAGCAGAAATGGATACAGTAGCAGAGGGAGGCCTGGAGGGGAAAGTTCTCTTTAGAAGTCAGCCTAATTATCATCCAGAAGCTGATCTTATGCTTCTAAAGAATCCAAATTAAAATAGTTTGGCTCAGGAGTAGAAGGAGGAAATCAGTTTGGTAGGTTGCTTTGAACCAGCCACCAGTATAACCCCTTATTAGCTCCTGAATGACCTGAAAGGTCTTGCCTGGATAAGGAGCTTTTATATAGAAAAAAGTCCTTAGAAGTAGCAGAGCCAAGCTTGGGAAGTACTCCTGAAAAAGAGAAAGGCTTGTATGAGGCCCAGGAAAGAGAATTCTGTTCCTGAGGATCAAGTAGTAGAACTGAGAAATATAGAGGGGAGGAACTTGCTTTTGGCAGGGGCAGAACAAGTAGTCCCTAAATCCTTGCAAGGGAAGCCCCTATCTAACGTATCACTGGATAAAGAAATAGAATCAGCTAACATACTCAGTGCATCTAAAACAAACCAATCGTTTAAGACTGCACTTAAGAGCAACCTGAATGAGAATATTAAAGTGACCCATGATAGTGGTCCTCCACATAAGGAAAATGTTTCAATGAAAGTACTGTGAGTGAGGAGGATGGCGTAAGCCCTGCCATCTTAAAGAGGGACGCATCCAGAGAGGTTCGGGAGGAGGAGAGGGAACTGCCTACCCTTTCTCCAGCTGAGAAAGTGAAGCCCCGAGCCAGACTTCAAGCAGACATCACTAAGAAACGGACAGCAGAGGACGTCCAGTGGACATCAGAGGGCCTGGTAACCTCCAGTCGAAGGAAGAGAATGCAGAAGAAGGAGCCAGTGATCATCAGAGGGACCCCTGAGTGCCAGCAGTCGTGTGTCCAGCTGAAGGAGGCAGTAATGACCGGACCAGTCCACGGTACACCTTACTACAACGGGAAGGTGAAAGACTTGGACTTTGTAAACCACAGAGTAAAAGATTCAGAAAGTGCCTCGAAAGCTAAATGACTGATGGGGGGGCATAAACAAAATTGGTAGTGTTGTAATAATTTTGTTGGTGTATAGTGTGGAAAAACTGAAAATTGATGAACTGAAACATGTAGAATGATTCAAGGACTTCTATAACAAACTAGAATGGACTATTGATTTACTGGTTAATTATCTATGTAAAACTTTCCAGATTGTGGTATATTTCTTTAAGGTTGAAAATGTTAAATGTAGTAAGTGTAACTGATAGGGTAAAGTATATTATTGACTTGTATTGGAATGTTTAGACTAAAAGGTACTGTGGTTGTTATAGTAAATGTGGTATTGCTTACAGAATTGTGCCAGATGCTAAGTAGAGTTTCATGCAATTGTGCCTGTATGTTTAGGAGGAAAAATACATTTCTCCTCACAAACAAACATATTTAAGGATGGAGCTATGTGGGGTTCACCCTTATTATGTTAAATAAGTCATTCATTATTCATGTTTTATGCTGATGTGGTTGAAAGGTGGGGCCACTGGAGATGTTAAAAGGCAGAGCCAGAGAGGAGGAGTAGAGTTCAGTCAGAGTTAATGAGGGAGGGAGAGAGAGGGAGAGTTGGGAGATCTGAGATGTGATTAGTCTGAGGAGTAAATAGTAACCTGTGAGATTTAGATAGAAGATTGATGCTTGATGAACCCAAAGTAAATGCTTATGAATTATTAAAGAAATATCTGAAATTAATACACCTTTTAAGAAAAAGTGATAACTGAATGGACCTTCATCTTTCCTAAATAAAGTACGTTGATTTAGTGATCAACTGGTGGCAGTGTGTGAAAAGGTGTTTGGTTTGCCTTTGTGTGCCCTGTGTTTGGAAGAGAAACGGGCCACGAGGGCCAAAAGTCACAGATGGTTCTAGAATTACTGCAGATAATTCTCAGAACCTCACTGAACTACAAGTTCCAAGATTCTGGAGGCGGGAGCCATGGTGCCTCAGCTGTGAATTATGGATACATCTTAGAGTTTGCTTCATCAGAAGTGTTCTCCTCACTTGGTAGACTGTGTATAGAAGTAACATGGAACGGAGGATGTTTTAAGCAGTTACTCTTAAAACTGTTCTTGACTAAGAGATACTACAAGTACATCTCAGCTTTATATTCCATGTAACCAGTGAGGTGGGATTTGAAGTGGCCATTGAAAATTTTATGAAAACCTTACCTTCCAGGTCATTCCCTAATTTTTGTTTTGGATTGCATCAAATACTGCGTGGAATTCCTGCTTTTTAAACTCCCTATTTGCTCAAAGGAAACAAAATTGATCTATGTATTCTCAAAGGCTAGCAGAGCTTCAACAAATAGAAGAAAGTCTAAAACTCAACAAAGCTTGGCTCCCAGCACAGAAAAATACAGCCTGCAAAAGGTCAATGAACCTTGCCCAGCTACAAGGACCAGTGATCACTGCACACAAAAAACCAGCTAATGAAACCCATCAATCACAGCGAAAGATCATCTCTCCCCCTTGTCACAATGTACACACAACAAAAACACGCTGATCACCATAATCACCCAATCTCCTGAAAAGGACAAAAAGCTGATCCCGCAGCTATAAATACCCAACTATCCCGCAAACTGCATCAGAGCACAGACAGACCCCTATCCTCTGAAGATTCAGGCCACAGAGGCTAGCAAAACGTTGGGAAGAAAAATCTCAAGAACACGGCCAAACAGCCCAAAAAACCTACAACAACCAAAATCTGATCTAGTATGAATATCATATTCACTTATTTTCCAGCTGTAGTGCCATATTTGTTATTTACACTATAAATTACCATGAAGCGAGTGGGTAATAAGGACATAATGAAGGTACATTTCAAAAGAAACATAATGAGCAGAAGCAAAATTGGCCTGAGGAGTAGTGGGTTGTAGTCCCTCTGTAAAATTACTTTTAAAGGGCCGGTTCAGTATAGCTAGAGGCAGGAATTTCTCAAGTTTGATGCCATTCATTTGTCAGTCTTAAGATTTCCCTAAGAAAGCAACAAAAGTAATCACAGCAGTGAGCAACACAATGGAGTACCCTGTAAACATCACATAGATAATAAATAATCATTATAACCATTTTTTTAAAAGTGTGTTACTTTTTTTGCTTACAGATGAACTGGGGCATCTCTTAGGAGGTTTAGGGTGGGTGTCTTGTGTGATGCATAATAGATTTCCAGGACTTCCTTGTTTCTGATGGTGGGCAGAGAAGGAAACTGGTACATTGTAGAGCAGGCAGGCAACTCAGATTAGGGCTTTCCTCCCTCACAAGGCACAATAGGTTCAGAAGGGTCACAAATAGGAAAAAGCCAAATCAAGAAGTGGCCAGTAGCCCACTTCCTATCTTGGCTTTTTAGGTTGGAGTTTTTGGGGAGCTTGGGACTTTGCAAATCAGAAAAGGAGTAGAAAAAACTATTTTGGGGGGACAAGAATCCCAGATGGGGACTCCTTAGGAGCCAGGGCGCCTCAGAAATGGTCTTGAGGGCTACATGTGGCCTGCAGGACACATTAACCCTCAAATCATTATTTATGGTGGGGAGGGCAAAGGTGTCCTAAGGAGGTTGTATTAGTCTCCTGGTTTGTCACTTGCCTTGTATTGTTGAACAAAATGGAGCCAACTTTAAGCATATGAAAAGCAGCAAGAGTTACTCCTTGAGCCAGACAGAGCCAAGTAACGCCTCATCTGAGGTGATACTACTAGATGGGTCCACCCCCAATGCATCGATGCAAACAAAGTACTGTGGTACTCACAAAGGCTTCTACATAAATCAGAACCCTGTACAGCTGATGTTCTGAAGTTACATGGGAAGACTCCCCAAGGCCACGTGAGGGCTAGCCTCCTGCAAGTGTTTGCTCTGGGAGTCTGGATACCTTGAGGGGAGGGGCAGCTATCTGGTGACATCATATCATGGGCTGGAGTACTTGTGGTAACCTAATACCTGCTAACATGGTGAGCTTCTGCTCTTTTTCCCATTTGTGTGTGAAAGAGGAGTATCTGTTAGCAGGAGCTGAACGTGGAAGGGAAGCTGGCTTAACTATTACAGGTCTTGTCTTCTGCAGGAAACTTTATGTCTTGGTGTCGGTGTTGCTGTGCCTCCTGGTATCAGGGTTGGTGGTCTTCTTTCTCTTTCCACATTCAGTCCTGGTGGATGACAACGGCATCAAAGTGGTTACAGTCTGGTTTGATGAGAAAAACTCCCTTGTTGTCCTTGCCATCACGGTAATGCACAAGCTTATATATGTAGTACAGCTGGAATTGCCAAGGTGGCTATAAGAAGCCCTCTGTTTTCAGTGGTTCTTATTCTTGTCTCCTCTTTATAGGCTACCCTCCGGATCAAGAACTCCAATTTCTACTCTGTTGCAGTCACCAGCTTGGCCAGTCAAGTGCAGTATATGAACACTGTGGTGGGAACGCAGCAGATAAATAACGTCACACACATCCAGCCACTGAGTGACCAGCTGGTACAAGTGGCTTTCTAGTTAATACAAAACAGGGATCTGGTGGGAATCTATGGTGGGAAGGATGCATTGCTCTCTGTACCGTTGTTTACACCTCATGTGTCTCATCTCTTTTCAGGTGAATTTCACAGTGAAGGCTGAAATGGGTGGACCCTTTTCTTACGTATAGTAAGGACTTATCTATGTTTGGATCATAGTTAGGTTCTGTATCATTTAAAGGCTCAATTAAATGGCAGAAGAGAAGCCCAGTTGTACTGATTCTTTTCATCCTTCTGTTGTACCAATATATTTTTCCACCAGCCATCATGTGGTATATATATCAGGAACATGTACTGTACAGTGGTGCCTCGCTTAACGAGCGCACCGTATAACGAAGAATCCGTATAGCGATCCCTTTTTGGGGATCGCTATACGGAGCTGCCCCAATCACCGCACTCGCTTTGCGACGATTGGGGCGTCCGGCGGCCATTTTGGAGCCGCCGAACAGTTGTTCGGCGGCTCCAAAATGGCCGCCGGACCAGCAAAAACATCGCTGGAGGGGTAAGTTTTGGCGCCTATTGGAACACATTAAACTAAGTTTAATGCGTTCCAATAGGCTTTTCCTGCCCTGTACAGCGATGTTTTCGCGCATTGTTTTGAACTGGATTGCTACAGTTCTTTCTGTTTGAACCATTATGGCAGCCTACACTTCTCTTTTATTTTGTATCAGTTCATTTTCTCTATTGTTTCTTAGGGCCATCAGCCCCTCTTTGTCCTTTTTTAAATTACAAAAGTGATATACAGTATATTGATAGAATAGCATGAGCCTTCTCTCTGCCCCCCTTTTCTCTTCTTCCCTTTACTCACTTGCCCCCTTTTCCTTATTTCCCTGCATATCTCTCCATCTCAGTTCTTGGCTTTTTAAAATTTTTTCCCTTTTGCACAGCATCGGGAGAAGGAAGCAGGCTTCAAAAGAGTATTGCAGTGTTGTGAAGCCCAGGGTTAAAAAAAGAGAAACTTTGATGCAATGTCCCTTTCTTTACAATTCAAAGCAGGAAATATCCTTTTCTGTGCTTAAGCCCTCTTTCACCCACAAGGGGCAGGGGGGAAGGCTGTCTGAGCAATGTATTTATGTTGTTTTGTCATGGTGGCGGCGGTGGCTGCTATTAGCAATTTATCAATAGTGTATCCTTTTTAAAAATAATTTTTAAAAAAGGATATTGATAAATTGCTAGTAACAATTAAAAAATTAATTTTTTAAGAAATGGTTACAAGCGCAGTGACCATGAAATGGCCACAGTGCCCAGAAACCCAATCCCTTTGCAAAGCAAATAAATTGACAGCAGTATTCACACATGCTGAAATGATAAAGTGATTCATCACTGGTACAATTTAGAACAGTCCTCCTAATGAGGAGGAAATAAACTGACTACTGGGGAAAATGAATTGATGTTAACCATGCATCATGTGAATTGAAAATTTTGAAACAATCCAAGTAATGGCAAAAATGGTATAACTGGGGTTCTTTTGGCAAATGTGATCGAGCCCTAACTCAAGGTGGCTGCAGTTTCTCTTCTCACAATGTCAGTGATGTATACCAATATATTTATTTCATGTCATGCTAAGAGAAAACATTTTCATGAAGACTTCTAGCTTTCCCTCCAGACCCTAATTTGTGCATCTCCCTTATTTGAAGTTTCTTGACAATCTGTTTCTTGGTCTCTCCTAGCTTTTTTTGCACGCTCCCCAAGATCAGAGTGCACAACATTGTGATTTTTATGAGGTAGGCATCTCTCTTGTTGTCTCTGGCTGTCAGGGACTAGAAACAGGAGAGTCATTCGCAGGTCAATTTCTTTAATTATATACAGTTCCACCACTAGATGTCTTAAGAAAAGATTGATGGGGATTGTTCCGTTCTCCGTGTGATGTATGACCTAAGTAAGAGTAAGGAGCCATAAGTCAGATTTGTATGATCTGTACTGAAAGAAAAGTATTTTTTTTAAAAAACCCAGCTGGTAGTAATTTTGAATTAAAAGCATCTGAATTCTCTGACCTGGATAAGCGACAGTGCAAGCATATTTCATTCTTTAGAAAAATGTGCAAAGCTGCAGATTGGGTACCTATATCTAGGTGATTAAAGAAAATGGTTCCTAGTGTGGCCTTTGAAATGGCACTGCACAACTATTCCATGCTTTCCTTGGTGGATGCTCAACAAGCTAGCGAAAGTGATGGGAAAACACAGGAAATGACATTGTCTTGGATCCAATGTACATGAAGCTGGGCTCTGGTATAAGGAAAAAGAAATCTCATTGGTTGGGGGACCGAGTATGGGCTTTTTCCTTGAAAGCTTCTCTTTTGTTTTGCCTTCAGGACTTCAGTGAAGATCTCCTACATTGGCCATATAACTCAGAGTTCCTTGGAGACATATCATTATGTGGATTGTGGTGCAAATTTTACAGCTACCCATGCTGGTTCATGGCCGTCTAGTCTAGAAGATGCTGCTTGAGATGGCTAATCTGTTTCAACGAGAATAAGAAGTGGAATCCTGCTGCTGTTTAGCTTTAGGACTGCTTAAAAAGAGATGATCATTTGGTTTGAGACGGATGAAATGTGACTTTTGCTGTTACAAAATGGAAAGTATGAGTCTAGCTTCTATACAATATTCCATATCTGGGCTGTGCCTAGGCACTACTTTGAATAGAACCTGCCTAGTTTTTCAAGATGACAATTCCTCCCCCATCCCCCAGCGTGGAACGTCTGCCTCTAGCTTGTGCTATTTTGGCTTGGTTGGATCCCTCTGCTTCTTTTTGAGATGTCAGATTTCTCAGCTTCTGCTTTAAATTAGGTAAGGACATGTTTCTGGAAGTGTTTTATCCCATGCATTTCTACAATATGTGGAAGGAAAGACACCTAGCTTCCAGATATGGAAGCTTACTTCTTATATTCTGGTCTTATATTTACATTTTGCTTACTATCCCAAGAAAAAATACAACACCCTGATTTGGAATATTGTTAGTGCAGAAGAGGACAACGTCACATTTTGTTGGATTAGAACTCTACAACCATAGCCACTACAGGCAGTGAGGGATGATGCGTGTGATCCAGTACCTTGAGAACCAGAGTTTGCCCCTCGCTGACGGAAACATCCATGAAATCCCTGTTTTCCTGGATGTTATTCTTTAAACTACCTTTTACTATATCAACAACTTGTTAAGTACACCATTCTGAGGAGCACTCTATGCAAGAATTCTAACACTTCCGCATTTGTTTTGATTCCCCCCCCCTTTTAATACTTGGGTATCCTAGAAGGGCTATCGTCTTCCATTACCTGCATCAGGATAGTCTATATGCAGAGTGCACTTCAAATCTTTGTAGCTCCTGATTTTCTAGGCTGAGCCAGTGATTTGTGCTGCTGGAATAGAAGAGCTTGATTTGTATGTGTGTGCATATTTCCAGTAGCAACATGCATTTTTCATTTGTAGAGATGGGCACCTTGGTTCGGAGGTTTGTGCTGGTTTGTCAGTGTAGTACAGGTGCCATGTGTTCCTTTCCCTAACCCCCAACCCCCCCCCCCCCCCANTGGCACACACTGCTCTTTGTGTGATTGTCAGTTGTGGCTGGAACATGGACTTCCCTTCTCCATCTCCTCTGGCAGCTGCCCACTCAGACAAAGAGGCAGGGCAGGAATTCCTGCAGTGCTGCCTTTGAGTGGGCAGCTGCTGAAGGTGACGGCGAAGGGAAGTCTACGCTCTTGCTGCAACTGGACAGTTGTGCAAAAAGGAGAACAGCAGTGTGCGCTGGCTGGTGAGGGAGGGAGCCAGCCAGGAGGCAGGAAGGGAATGTGCCGCACCTGTGAACCAGCACACACCTCCGAACCCATCTCTAGTAATGTGCTCTTTTTAATGTCTCTAAATTAGAGATGAGCAACTTGGATCTATCTAGCTGTTATCAGACTACAGTTGCCATCATCCATTATTTACTATGATTTCTAGGACTGATGGTATCTGTAGTCTAGCAACATCTAGAAGGCTGCAGTTGGTTATGTTCAATTCAAGGTGGGACATCTTCATGAACGAAGTAGAATTTGAAGGAGAATGAGAGGCTACTGTGGCTCTCCGATAATCCCCTTTTTTTTTCATATATGAGGCACAGTGGTTCATTTTTCCTTCTAAAGCTCTTCATGGTTCTACCCAGTCTACTGCAGTATTTTTGTCCTGAGGAAGAAATAGAAACCTATTTAAACTTGAAGTGAATTTTTAACTAACTCTATTTTTGGATATTTAAATGCTGATGGGAGTTAATGTTTGTTTAGAATTTGTATGTTTTTGTTTAGGAGACTATGGAGCAGAACATTCTTAAAGATAATAAACCTTAAATTTGCTGTTTGAAAAGTGTTGGTTTTTAAAATGAAGGTATATATGACTTGAAATGTGATTTTCTTTACATACTGTGAGGGAACTGCAGAGGGTCTGGCTGTAGCCATCTTTTCCTTCTCAAATTGTATTTGAGCAAATCATTGATTCCCATAACCCAGAGGAAGGAGATACCATCATTTGGACATGCCATGCCAACTGCATCCTGAGAAATCTGTGGCCTGTTTACATCTGGATGGAGCTACTGATTTGTGCAATCTTATTGAACAGAAAAGTTGGGGCCAGGGAAGGAGGGTAGGGACTTACTCACAATAGAAATGCTTAGTTGTTCGGATTACGTATGTTCAGGTTTTTTTTTAAAGGGGCCTGAATTGTCAGATGGCACCTTTTTAAATTAAAAATTACGGGTGGCAGGCTTTCTTAAATGGGACTTTTCCTCCCCCCCCTTTCATCTTCTGTGAGGCACCTCTAGCCAATATCATAGGTGGGCCGGTGACTGCAAGTTTCCACCAGTGGAAGAAGTGTCTTCTTGATTCCACATTCTATAAAGCTCAGCTATCTTGTATCCCTGCAAAAGAAGACTTTAGTATCTCTTGGAGAGAACTGACCTCAAACCACCAAGTGGTTGCTTCAGATTGATTTGATGCTAGATTCACAATTGCCATGACTGACATGTCTTGCTTGTTTGGGAGTGGTCTCAGAGAGAGCCTGTGTGAGAAGCACCCCATTGTATAGGCGACTGACATGTCTTACTTGTTTGGGAGTGGTCTCAGAGCAGTGCCCCACACCGCCTGTGTGAGAAGCACCCCATTGTATAGGGGTGCAACAAGTGCTTGCCTTAAAGTCAGTTCTGTGTTGAGACATTTGTTTGCTCAGAACTCCTCATCTGATCAATCAGTTTTTACTATATTTTATTGATTTTAATTGTCCTGACTTTTGTAATTATTTGGCTGTTTTCTGATCCATTCATTGTTTACCACCAGATCATTTTTTAATGAATTCTCATAATGAAATAGGTTTAATGTACTTGCCCCCAGTGTCTTAGTCTGGATCCTGTAAAAAACCCTGATTAGAAAATGCAATTGTGGTTCTGGGGGAAATTACCTCTGCCATCCATCCTGGGGAAACATGCACTTTAAGTTATATCTACTTGAATAAAAATCAGACACTCTCGTCATAAGAGGTGGAATCAAGCAACCACCGTTTTCCTTGGCAGGGGTGGGGAATGTGTAGGCCTCCAGATGCTGTTGGATTACAATTCCTATCATCTCTTACCAGTGACTATGCTATCTGGGGTTTCTAAGAGTTGGAATAGAATAACAGTGGGAGGCTTATGTGTTCTCCGTTTCTGCTTTAAGATATCCCTCCTTGGACAATTGTCACCTGTGTCGTTTCTTTGTGTTCTCATTCTTGAGTAAATTTTATGTCTGGTATGGTAAGAGGTGGTTCTTTTGGTGTGACGCATGGAGGAAGCCGGGAAAAGAGCTGGCATCTACCATGAAGAGGTGAAAAACGGAGTAGCTCTGTAAGTCCACCCACCACCAAACTCTCCACAGCAACCACAAGCAAGAATAACCAGTCATTGTTGTTATATCTTCTTACATTGTCACATACTTACAAGTTACAATCCAAGAGATTACATCAGCTGCACAGGGCCAATGGTATCAGCTCTGGCATCTCCGCCTTCCCCCCTCCCCACCACACCTTCCCCCAGAGAAAGCCAAAGTCCAGGGCTTCCGCCACAGATTCTGCCAGACCATTGTGCTGAATTGCCAGCCTAAACAGCATAAATTACATTCAGTCTTCAAGAGCCAATGCTGCTGGCCCCTCCTTTGTTCTTTTTTGGGCTCATGGGCTCTGGCCATCAGAGCAGGCAGTCTTGCTGAGGCCAAGATGCAGGGGAGCCTCCCCTCTCTACTTCTTGTGGCATCAAGTCTAGCTCTCCTTGACATCGGGCCCCTTTGCCTCCACTGAGTGGCTGTGGGGTACAGGTCTCGTGCAACACAGTCGCCAATACATTCAGAGGGGTAGGAAAGGGTAATGTCGCTGAGATGGGTGTCTGCCCCATTGCCTGATTCAAGAAGGTGCAGAGCAGAGCCAGTTACTGCCATGGTTGATACTGACTCCTGACCCACCCAGATCTGCCCGCAAAAGGGGTGAAGAGGGGATTCACAGCATTACCCTGATCACAGATTTGAAATAAAGCCTGAGACCACACCAGTCATCATAACCACACAGAGGCCTCTGCCAAAGCAAGAGACAGAAGGGCTGTAGACATCTGCATCAGGAGAGCTGCCAAACCAGAAAAGAGGGAAAAAGAGAAAGATTTCATCCTTTTTTTTTTCTGGCTCTCAAAATAAAACAATAAATTAAAAACAGTAAGATTAGTTGGAAAGGGAATGAAATCCATAGGAGTGGATGAGAGAATGGGGCTTTTTACAAATTATCCTTTCTTTTTAAAAGGATATGTTTTAAACGCTAGGGCCTTTGTTGCTTATAAAGATACTCCCACATAGTTTTGGCTGGGTTCTCAGCATCCATACGAGACGGGTGTCTTGTAGAATCAATCCCTCTTAAAACACCCAGCCCTTTCGTCACCCGTGTTTGTGTTTGGCCACCAGCTGCTTCATCATTAGCTGCCCTTTTGGAATAACCTGCAAGGGTGAAAGAGCTCTTAAGAACAAGGTGGAGGTACCCTTGGGCCTTCCATGGCGCATAATAAGATATATACATATGTATTTATTTCAGTGCAAGGGTCAGGCCCAGGAGCCTGGGGAACGTTGGCAGAAGGAATGTGTTTCAGTGCAGTTTGAATAAGGTGTGTGCATGTTTTCGCCAGGTTACGATGGGGTGATCCTGAGTCTGCCTGAGGAAAAAGGCAAGGCAATCAGTTTGGATCAAACACAGCAGAACAACACTGGCTGACTGTTTTGGCCGAGAATGCACCTTGTTGCCAATGGCCTGTGCTACGGCCTCTCAAAATGTTGAAGAAAAATGCCTCAGAAAAACAAGCGTTAGGAGCACTGGCCTCTTAATAAAAATATCCTTCTCGTTGGAAAAAACAACAACAAAATGCTCTAGGCTTAAAAAGAGAGAGGCTGCTGCTTTACTTCCTTAGAAAAACAGAGGCTGTTTTCCCTACAGGGATACTCCTGGCTCTCCCTCTATGGCTCCAGGAGCCAGGATGTCTCGTCTTCAGCATATGACTGAGAAGAAAACCCAGCGGGTGACAGGAGTTAAGGAACGAGAGCTTGAATGGTGGATTCTCCCCAACCGAGCGAGCGGTGTCTTCCATTCTTCCATTGTCGCTTTGCTTCCCCCGGCCCCATGTTGTGTGTCCCTGGCTCCACGGAGATGGCTGGAGTCCCTTCTAGTGTCCCCACAGCCCAGATGCTCTCAGTAAGCTGAGCACCCTGAACCCACAGATAACTGAGGCAAGGGGCTGGTTGGTGTTCCCAGAAGAAGCCAATGAAGTGGCCTGAGCGCTCCCTTCTCAGCTTTCTGTTCACCCACCGCCACCCCCCCTGTGGCACCACGGTCGGAAGCACGCTCCTAGCTCCTTCAACGCTCTGCACACCCATCCTTGTTTTTAGGCCCGCTTCAAGTTGCTTCACTGAGGCTCAAGTCACTGACCACTTCAATAACACTGATTTACATTCCACCTTCAAAGCTAGTTACAAACACAGAAAGAAAGGGAAAGGAAAAAAAAAACCCACAAAACTGCTTGCCCTCCCCCTTGTTCCCTAAAGTTCTCTCCCCACCCCACCCCAGTGACGAAGGTGACACAACTGTCCTGGGCCCTGCTTCTTCCCTCCTAAGTGCTTGGATGCTGGGTGCCCTGCAGGCCTCTCTTTCCCAGCCGGCCGGGAGAGATGGCCGTTGTCCTGGCAACTGGCGGAGCCGCTCCAGGCCTGGGAGCGAGAGAGGGTGAGCTGGGCGTCCCCCTGGCCGGTGCCTGCGCTCAGCAGAGCCAATCAAAGGAGGACTCGGGATGGCAACGGCCACGCCCTGCACAAGGCAGGCGGTCCTGATCCAAACTGCTCGGTGTCCGGGTCCAGATGCCAGAGGGGAGTGAGGTCTCCCTAAGGAGGGTAGGTCTCAGTCACTGGATACCCCTCCTGGCACCACGTGGATGGGGAAGAGGATCCCCCTGGCATGCTACACCAGGGCAGTTCGGGCCTCAGTCCTCCCCACGCTGGCACTACTGCTCTTCCGGCGCAGGCCAGGGGTGGCAATGGTGCTGTAGCCTTCGTTTGGGCAACCGTGTTGCAAAAGGATGTCAATGCATTCCTGGCTCCCAGATCGGCGGGCGTAGAAGAGGGCGGTGTGGCCCACGGCATCCCGGGCTTTCACATCAGCACCATACTGTGGGGGACGAAAGAATGGTTGAGTAGCATTGGGCATTGGGCCCCACCACCCCCAACCTTCCTCTCCTTATAGACACATCCAGGCTTATTTGGATGGCTGGAAAATTAGGGCTTCTGTGAGGAAGCAGATAAAGCTGCACCCTGGGTTGCCCTTTATATCCACTGCAGCCTGAGAAGAGGCTGCTTTCCCCTGCATACCTTGCTTTTTTTTTCAGTCCTTGTTATGTTTTCCCAAAATCCATAAGGGCTGGTGGCTAGAATACCTTCTAATCCCAGCCCTGTTTCTCTGCAACCCTGGCACTCTGTTTTGTTGTAGAGAGACAATAGGGTCTGTCTGCATGTTGATTTTGCAAACACCCAGCTTTGATTATGCAGCCCTGGAGAGATTAATGTGTTGCCACCTCCCACTGGAGCTGCCTGGTAGAGTGCTTTGGTCCTGGAAATCAGCCCTAACCAAAGAGAGCCTCTTTTTCACCAAAAGGAATCCCCCACCTTAACCACTGTGATCCAGGGAGCGTGAGGAGAGCTGAAAGGAAGCCTCATTTTACCCTGAGCTTCCCTGTGTGCCTCTCTTCTATTTCCAAGAACTACTCACCCACACCAGAAGCTGGGTGATGACCACATGTGACAGGTCACAGGCCACGTGCAGGGCTGTGCGCCGGTCCTTGTCACCGGTAGGGGCATTGATCTGTTCCTTGGAACTGTGGGCCAGCAACAGCAGCACAGCATCCAAATCTTGCTCCAGCACTGCCTGGAAGAGCTGGCACCCCAAGGAGAGTTCAGAGTTGGGCAGTGGTGCCAGGAACAGCCGCTGCTCATATTTGGCTCGGATCCAAGACTCCCGCTCTTCTCTGAGAAGACAGACAGAGACAGAGAGGCCCTACTGGTCATGATGTTTTTATGGAATCCACAGGTTCAGAACCAGTGAATACAAGTCATTGAAGAACCATAGAAGGGACAGTGTTTGACTTCCATTCCTTACTGGCAGCCACTTCTTTCTCATAGTGGCCTACTGAGGCTGCGACTACATGGTCAAATACCATGGGATTTGTTCCACTTACAAAATGAACGGATTTGAAAATATTTTAGCTGATCACATGACACAAAGCCCAATTTGAATCTTTTCGACCCTTTTTGCTCTCAATGCACAGGTGTTTTTTTCTCTGCCACTGGAGGCTTGTAGTACTTTTTTCAAGCCAGGATGATTCAAATTGACTTTTTTCTGTGTGATCAGTTGGCTCATAATGACAGGGCGTATGTCTTTTGGGTAGTGTCTCAGTGACGGAGGCAGTTGGAGCAGGATGTTCAGGACCACAGAAACATCCCCCCCTGTGTTCTTTGCCTCCTGACCATGCTCTGATTTTTTTTTCACTTTTTTTTAGCGCCAAATCACCTTACCACCTTAACACTAGTATTGATAGATCATCTCTGGGTGAGAAAATTTGTTTTAAAAAATAACAACCAAAAAAGAAACAACCCAGACAAAATAAAAGACATTCCTGTGGGATGTGCTATTTCTGTACACTTAAGAAGAACAAATTTGGAATGCTCCTATCTCTTCCAGAACATGGTATAACCCTTTCAAAACCAAGGAGTTTGACAGTGAACCATAAAATGATAGGCAGAGATGAGATGAGAGGGAGGAAGGAAATAAGAGGGGTTGGGGGCTGAAATAAGACTCTCATGGCATCCAGTATAAACAGTGAACTCCCGAATCAGTCCGCAGTCCTTGTGAAAGCTGAACTGAGAATTCAACCATTATACAGGCTGAAAAGCAATTAGCAGAAAAGCCAAATTGGAGCAATTCAGCTTGCCAATGTAGTTGCAGCCCTGAGTTGCTGGACTACAATGATGTTTAAGTCTGATCCATTCAGCAGGATTCTCTTTACATAGAGACAGATCAATCATACCAAACCAAAGGAACAAGTATGTACTTGGCAAACAAAGCATAAAGGAAGACTAAAATCCATGGCAGGGTATACCTAATTTTAAAAATCATTATTTTCTTTTCTAATAACTGTGATCATAGGTTTTAATCAATTAAGGGCACAATCCAGCCAAAGGTAAGTGCTTTTAAGTTATCACTGGTTCCAGGGTGTAAAATACACTGCTTAACATCTCCACTGCCTTTGCTGGAAAATCAGTAGGACTTCAAATAGGTACATCATGCCCTTAATTGGTAACTTAACATAGCAAATTGTGCATGTTTACTAGTTGTACTACATTCATTTCAACAGGGGGAATGCCCTGGAGGTTATATATTGGGCTGCAGCAGTACTACATGGTCACCGTGTAATAATAATGCAGCAGCTTGCACCCACCGTGATGATTCGCAGGTGGGTTTCCGACGTCCCTGCGTGCACTTCTCCCAGACGCTGTTGGCCATCTCGTTGCCAATGGAAGTGAGCACCAATGTGAGCTCCAGGGGCCAGTCGTCTAAGTCAAGGGAGCGCACGCGTGACAGGTGGGTGCCTAGATTCCGGTGGATGCCTGAGCACTCAATGCAGATTAGGGCCCCCAAGTTCAGGCTGGCCCAGGTGGGGTCTGGAGCAACGAAATTAAGCCAGTGAGAAATGAAGGAGGACTTGACCATCCCTCTTAGATAGAGATATGGTGAGAGATTTAAAAGTATAGTACAGTATCAGTAACCGCGTCTCAATGACAGCCCCCAAATTCAGACAACTGTGTTGATCCAGGTCAACAGGCCAAGAGTTTTTTTTCTTGTGATCATAGCTAATTTACAGACATTGGTATAATTTTTTATTTTTAAATTTGTCAACATCTTCTCACTTCTCCTACTCTCGTGGCCCACTTGGTGTTTGCTGACTATAGCCCATCACTCTCTGAGCAGAAATCACATCCCATCTTTGTTCATGTCGATACCTAGCACTCCAGATAAATGATAAACAAGCAGCACTAATATCCCTTGTCTCCTGTGTCACCATAAAGTAGGTGCAGGCAACCTCCAAAAGTCTCAGGGCCCCAAATATCCATCTCTGGATTTTGCAGAGCTGCATCTGCCCTCCTTCAATTTTCTTTTGGTGTTTTTTAATTTAACTCGAAAATTCCCATTGTATCCTCTAGTGTCCTTTAAAAAAAACACCTTGGAAGGGTGTATGGAAGTCCCTCAAAACATGGCAAAGTTGCCTCCCACACCCCTCGTGTACATGCAGACTTTTTCAATCCAATTGTTTTGGAGTATGTGGTGGGACTCATTGGAGTCTCCCATGTAGTAAAGAATCAACCAATGCACTCAGCAGCACTCACAAACCTGGCACCACCCAGGTGCTTTCGACTACAACTGTGAAGAAGACTCCAGCCAGACTCAGCTAGGATTGTAACCCTTACCTAAGGAATGGACAGTAGACAGGAGTAGGCAGTGTCCAATGGCAGCATCCCAATCCTAGCGCTTTCAGTTCTAATCCTTCCAAAGCCCCCCTCCTAAGGAAGGATGCCCTCTATGGCTCACTCTATTCTAGAGACCACTATTTTGTATGGGGATTAAATACTTACTGAGTGCTCCACAGTCCACACACAAGGAATTGCCTTTGGCATTACGGATGGCCTGGATGGCCACAGCTTCACTCTGGCTGTCCATCCGAGCCTGCGCAGATGATAGGAGAAGCTAGGAAGCATGCCATTGTACTACTTGTTCCAGAGCTTGAGGTCAAGTACCTTGAAAACTGTTCCTTATTTCCTCTCTCCTCAAGCAGACATCACAGAGATGAATGAGTACAACTATTTCTTTTAAATCCCTCTTCACAATCTGTGTGAGTTTTGTTCTGCAATCTTAGCCTCAATCCATGGCTGTAACAGGGTAGCTACTGGATATATCGCTTTGTTCCTTGCATCTCTGTATTTATATGAGCACCGCCTTCCTGCTCATACAAATATAATAAGATCCCAGCACAATCAAAGCTAGCCTAGTGGAGAGGAGACTAGAATCCTTTCCCCTGACATACTAGGTAACTGCTTGGAGGAGCATTCATTCCTATAAACCTGAAGGTTGAAATGGTAAGGTCCAAACACAGACGTAGTCACCTGAATCAGGTGAGTAAATCTTGTGGTGTTCCACATGGTGTTGAACTGTAATTTCCATTAACCCTAGCCAGCACAGATAACAGTGAGAGATGATGGGAGAGTAGTTGTTCAACTCCACCTGGAAGGATACAAGTTGCTTCCACTTCATCTAAGTGAAAGTAAAGACAATAAGAAATGACTGTCTGTGAATGCATTCACTTGCATGGATCTTCCCTTATTTCATGTCTCCCAACCCTTCCCCACTAATCCTCAGAGGCTCTTCAGAAAAGTATCTCCCCCCCCCCCCCACTTCGTGTCTCCCAACTCTTCCCCACTAATCCTCAGAGGCTCTTCTCGTACTATGAGCTGTCAATTACTTTGATGGTCCTGTGCACATAATAGTAACATCCAGTACCAGCTACACAGCTGTCTGATTGCTAGGATTGTCACAGCTGCCTCTTACGCTGGAGAGCCCTTACTACCGCCTAACAATCTAAAGTCCAGCGGGAAAACCTATTCAAGTTAAAAGGGCTTCCAGAAATGACCTTTTTAGCACCGTGGTGCCCTTCTAGGAACATCCTTGATTGCATTTAATCCAAAACTTCCTGGAACAGTCTTTCCCCATAGACAGGGCCTGAGCTCAGGCATGGATGGAGGTGGGATAGTCCTGCAAGTATGAAGCAAAAGCCTCTTCTACATGGTGGTCATTGGCTGGCAACTGTGATGCCAGAAAGAAATGCCCAGTCCCTGTCTAAGCGAGAATTTTTTAAAAAAAGGTTTTTCATAAGAGGGGGAAAAAAAAACCAGGGCAGTGAATGAACTGGTAAATGCATGAACAGTTAGCATGTACCAAAAACCCATGGATCTCCTTCCTGAAGCACACTGGGATGAAACAAAATTACTGGTTATGCCAGCATTTGGCTCAATGACATGCACGCGTGTTATTTCAGTTGTGATATCTCCCTGCTGCTGAATGTAGTTTTTTTTAAAAAAAACAATATATATAATGGCTATCTTTCCGCCTAACTTCCTTCTTCCTCCTCTCTCCCAGTTCATTAGCTCCCACTGAGCCGGATCATCTGTCACAATCCTTTTTCCAGCTGAAGGCTCCTAGTTCTTTGAGCAGTCACTTTCAGCTATTCCCAATATTTTCTCTATGACTGCCTGTTCTTCCTTCCTAGCTTTTCTGCCCCCTCATGACTGCAATTCTCATCTTGCTATCAGCACCTGCAGGTGGGAGTGAGGTAATGTTTCTAGACATGTTCTGTTTAGTGTTCGAGTAGTGATTCCAAAAACTTGCCATCCTGACGGAGGTTTACATTATATCCCTGCCTCTGGCTTCTACTCAACCATTCTTAGCTGACTGCTGGTTGTTTGTCCCTCAGAGGGCCATCTCCCTCGCTGTATGGAATTCATGCCTGAGACATATCCATGAGGTTCCTGGAATCACAGAGGCGGAATGAACAGGAAGGTCATCTAGTCCAAACTCCTGCAGGTGCAGAAAACCTACTGGAGCATATAATGGATTTTCTTTTCCTGTCTTTCAGATATCACCTTATCCTCTTAAATCTCATTCCCAAATGTCACCAAGCAGACTTCATGACATTTGCCTACCTTCTTCCCTCTCCACCCTGTCTCTCCCTCTGTGGCTTCTCTGTTGTCACTTTCAGATTGTAAACCTTTCAGGAGCAGACAGCTGACTGTGCTGCCTAGATAATACAGTAAAAGGTGATGTATATGCATACTTCAATCATCATAACCTACACAGATAACCAAGACAGGCCTTGATCATTATGAGGTCAATGGTTGTTGTGGGTTTTCCAGGCTGTTTGGCCATGTTCTTAACAACCACAACAACCATCGGATCCCGGCCGTGAAAGACTTCGAGAATACATTATGGGGCCAGTTGGGAGTGCAAAGAGGTTCATACCTTGTTCTTGCTGCTCTCGCAGCACTGTAGGCTAGCCAAGATCTGGCTCTCGATGGCCTGGACCCAGGAGTCCCTCTCCTCAAAGCTGCTGGCCTCAAAGTGCCAGGTCTGCCCTGTGCTGGAGACGATGATGAACTCAAAATTCTCCTCCTCTGTGGGTGCGAAAGAGCAGGCTCAGGCAGGACAGCAGGTGAGGCTGGAGTTCCCCTATACCCTCCAAATGAGGCTGGGGGGGCCCCATTCCCTCCCTGTGCTCACTCGGTCAGGGGTGTCTGATAAATCAAGGGGTGGGTAAAATGGCAGTTTGATCAATAACAATTCTGCTGGGGACACAGTAGGGACCTTGTGTTAGCTAACCTATTAGTCCAATAAGGTGAGGCTGACAGAATGCTATGAGGTCATCACCTTTCTTAGGGCAGGAAACCCCTTATTACAAATATCTAAACACAGACCACTGCATATATTTGCCATGCTAATATTATTCACACAGTTTTCTTGCTTTTTTTCACAAGAATGCTGTCAAGACAAGTTGCTAATTGCCATTGTTACAGTTGGTGGGCTGAAGCTGGGGTATTTGTAGAAAGCCACGCAGTGGGTCCATGGCAGAGATGAGGCTTGAACTCAGATATCCTCACTTCCTCCCATGCTTTAACTTTAGCTCAAACTCTTTGGCTTCTTGAGAGCCACTGAAGATGGCAGCCCTAGCCAGCAGGAAACTGGGAACAGCTTGACCAAACTCCTGGCGCAGGTGCCCCCAAATCTAGCAATAAAGTGTGCAGTGCAAAACAAAGCAAAACAAAACAAGCAACGTCTGCTGCTTATATAGTACTTAAAGTTCTCTCTGGGCAGTACAGACTACACTCTAGGCCAAAACAGCATAGCCCTATTTCCCTTCTCCACTGAATGCTTTGACTAGAGAAGGAAGGCATATGCATGAACACAGGAAAGGAAACAGCAGTGTCCACATACTGGGTCTTCTCAAGTAACCGGAAATAACTGCTGCCACTTCCCTGAGATTCTTATAGTTTGACAAGAGGGCTGGAGTTTGAGGGGAGGGATCTTTTTTGGGTTTGAGTCCTGACAGGGGTTGCTTTGGGCATCCCTTTGCTTGGCACCACCAGATATACAGCCTTTCCCTGCAAGAGCTTAGAAGTGCTCCCTTTTTGGGTCCACAACTCGCAGAAACACCCCAGCCAGCACAGCCAAGTCATGCTGGTTGGATGATCAGTCCAAAAAAAGTGGAATTCCAAAGCTCTGGCTTCCTCTGAAAAGGTGGAAATGGAAACTACAGGGGCTACAATGCTTCTTGCATACTCAGCCCTTTTTGCAACCCCCCACCGCCTTTGCTTTACAGCTCACTGAATAATGTGTCCAGACCAGAGGTGAAAGTGGTACAGAAGAGGATGCTCTGTCTTATGTGAAACAAAGGCAGTAGGGGGCATTAGTTAGTGTCAGACTAGCAGTGACTAGATTAATATTAAAATTTATATGTGATCTCATAGCTCATTGAGCCTGTCATGCTTTGCGTTTGGAGGATAAAATTGGGGGTGCATCTGGGGGTGGTATCCTCAACTCTGCCTGAACTCTTTGGAACAAGGTGGGAATAAAAATGTAATCAATGCATAATGAATAATAATAATTTTCTTTTAAAATTATTGCCCGCCCTATTGTCCTGCAGAACTTTCAGCACAGTCTCAATGTTAGAATGGGATACATAAAAGCAAGTAAGAAATAGGCAGGTTGTTTTATCAGTTTCTGATTTTCCTGATCATTAAGTTCATCTGGTCCTGTTGCCGTAACAGTTTGCAATTTAAAAAGAAAACTCCCATGTATACAGATTTTCATGGATTTCCACCTAATCTACATCTTTTGTATGCAATTTTGCTTATTCTTTTTTTCCAAAGCAATTTTCCCCTAATATATTATGCATTTGTATGTTATTTTCACAAATGGATTCATTATCGTTTCATTTCTTTCACCTGAAAACGCTATTTCAACATCTTTAAAATGGCAAACAGCAAAGGGGACTCTGTGATTCAGCTTGCATACTGGTCTAGGAAGCAGATTATCTAGGTTTTCCAAACAAATTTCACTCTTATCACTCCTTTTGACTTGATCAAAGCTTTTTATCAGGTTAGATGGAAGGGCAAAATAGCTGAGCATTATAGGGACTCATGCCAAAATCAGTGGCTTCCCTTAACCCACCCACCCATCCCCTTCAGGGCTCCTCTTTCTGCATTTGTCTGCCAAGGAACCATTGCATTGCAGTTTTCTGGGGGCATATATTCTAAGGTATACTATTGATATGTGTGACGTGTTGGCCTACTGGGATTCACCTACTCAAACTGAGAGCTAAAGTAACTGGAAAACACTCAACAGTTCTCATAGCTGAACAATGCCAGAAAAGATGGCAATGTGTCAAACGATTTCTCAGCCTCTTCTCAATCCATGACTCATAACGTTTCTGGGATTGTGAGATCTGACAGCCATGTGAGGGGGAGCCCTCAATTCACTTCTCAGGGCTTAAGTTCCAAACAAGTCATCCCTGATAAATTTCTCAGGAATACCATGGTTCCCTAAAACATAGTTTGAGAAATGCCAACATGACAGATTTCTGAGAGTTCAGCCATCTTTGTGCACAAGGTGTGAGAACGGAGGGACAGGAAGTACTTCCTTTTTGGCCAGAGAACCAAATGTGAAAGTTGTTCTCTTGGTCAGAGGGGAAGCACGGGGGAAGGTAGACATCTACGCAGGCCACATGTCACGAGGTAAGCACAATTGCATGCAACAGGCGCCATGGCACAAAAAGAGCCCGCACCTGCCACCGTCGCTCATTACCTGTTTTATAAATATTTCTTAAACTACCAAAGGTTTTTAATTTCCACATTTTACGCTTGGCTGCAGAGGGTCCGGAGGGGAAGCAGGAAGCAAGAAGCAGAGAAAGAGAAGGGAGGAAAAGAAGAAAAGGGGAGAAAGTTCAGAGGAGGAAAAAAATAATAAAAAAGCAGAGGCTATCAGAACCCACAGACCCAGGGAACAGGGTGGCAGTGGAGGTGGTGGTTGCATGAAGCGTGGCAGAAAGCAGTGGGGGAGAAATCTGTGAGAGCAGTGGCAACCCCTCGGTGGGCAAGGGGGGCATTGAGTGAAGCCCTATTCAGAGTGGAAATGGCAGGCTTTGCAACAGCTACAGCAATACAGGCAGAACTGAGTGTAGTGACCTGCCCAAATGGACTTAACACAATTCCTTCTGGATTGAGAAAGTGAGGGGGGCGCTATCTTTCAGGGATGCCATTGCTGTCAGTGTAGCTTCCCTGTAACTGAGAATAATATGTACCCCCTCACCCCACCACCAGGCTATCTCCCCCGGTCTGTCTGTAGCCCTATTCAGGCACTACAGCCTGGAACTGGGTAAGGTTTGAAGCATGATGGAGATGGGGGCATGTAGGGAAAACTCTGATACCCCCCATCCTCACCCCACTTGGAAGTGAGACAGACCTTTGTGTGCTCCCAGCGACAGTCTGCACTGGGGATTATAGTACTTCCTACCAAATACGTTCATAGCACTTTCTGGAATTCGGAGATCTGATGAGGTGTATCTCCCAAACGAAAAACAGAAATGCTGTAAGCTCATTCAGCTGAACAGGCTTGTGAATGCAGATGTCTGCTGTGAAAGAGTGAAAGTCTGCCTGACATTCAGCTGAGTTGAAAGGGTAAGTATTAACCTGCATCCCCATGTCACCTCCATGCTTCAAGCCCTAGCTAGTTTCAGACTGTAATGCCTTGAATGAGGCTTCTGCATTTCTGAGTTCAGTCAGGGGGAGAAGTGGAGGAGCACAGTGGGGCTTCACTAAAGTTAAAGCAGCCTCTTTCTGGGATCTTCCCTCTCCCTGAGTGCTTTCAGAAATGGCATTTTCATCTTTCATATAGGATTGCTTTGAAAATCAGGTAGTTGCTAAATGTAACAGGGAAATTCCAGCAGTAACACAAATGAATGCCTAACGGGGTGTATGTTGATGACTATGCATTATATACCAGTCGCTGAAGAACACAACCAGGAGATTGCTATTCCTGTTGTCCTTCTGCCCTGTCTACCTCTCATACACATGAGGCAGAGTTGACCCAGAAGGTAAAATTCATTGGGGGAGAACCCTTGCACAAGCCTCACCAAAATATCAGAAGAGATACAGAGTTGTGCTGGATCAAGTGGTAAGCCACTTTCCAAAGCTAACCATATGTAGTATAGCGTAGTACACTACATATGGTAGGTCAGCAAACAAAAGAGAAGCACAAGCACAGTGTAGTGATCTTCTGCTTGTGTTCTACAGCCAGAGCAGGCAAAGGGAAGCACAAGCTGAGGCCTATAATGATATCTTAGGTTTCTAAACGGTGGCTGCAGATATGACCCATCAACTCACATTTCGTTATTCAGACAGCTCTTTCATAATACCTGCATTTGGAATAGATACTCCTATGTGAAGGCGAAATCATATCTCAGTAAATGTACAGAGTATTCCATTCCTAGTAAAGGGATTGTTTACTACAAATGCTGTAAGCCGCCCAGAGACCTTTGGGTAGTGTGGGCGGCATATAAATTAAATAAATAAATAAATAAAATATATTCGATTCTGCTTCACCCAATCCCCGACATATATATAGAATTAGTTCTTAAAGTTTTATGTTGTTAGTTGCAAAAACCAGCCTTCATTGCCACATCTGAGAACACAGCTTTTAGGAGTGATATCTGTAAAATCATAATATTAACACCCACATATACAATTGCACTTGATCAGCACTCAATGCAAATATAATTTTGAAGAAGGTACTGAAAATTTATCTTGACACACTCTTCTAGGGCCTTTCCCATATCCTGTAGGGGCAAACCATGGCCTTCCAGGAACCCACTATTCAGTCTCCACGCAGTAAATAATTCCCCCTCTCCCCACACTATGTACTTCCATTTTAAGAAGTGCTGCTGTTGTCAGCGGCCTCTTACCTTCTGCCTGGCCTGCTGACCCTTCCGTTTTTGAAGGTGTTGAGAGCTTCTTCCGCCTGTGCTTCTTTCTGTCAATCATAGGGGAAGGAGGTGGGTCTTTGCCACTGCTGCCAGGACTAGACAGCCCTTCTGCAGCCATGGCGACCTCTGCAAAAATGTGTGGGAGAAAGAAGGTCACACAAAGCAGGTGGCAGATCCTTTCTCCTCAGGCCCCAAGGGTCTAGCATGTTCAGGCATCCTCTCTGCTCTTGGGTGCTTTGGGGGCCCTGCTGAACTTACCAGCCTTAGAAGAGGACACAGAGCGCTGCAGGCGCTCAGGTTTGCCCAAGAGCTTCAATGCTGGCTCTGTTGGAGGGTTCAGCAGTCCTGGACTGGGGCTCGCTGTTGAGGGAGAAAAAAAGTATGAATTTACCAAGCGGCTTTGATTCAGAATATTTGGCTGACATATGCCTACAGGCCCTGAAAATCTCAGCGTTGTTTTTCTTCCAGCTGTCCTAAAACAGGTACTCTTAAATGGATCACCTAGGAATGACATTTGATACCTCCTACAATCAAAGCCCATCCACAGGGTAAGGCAAGGCCTGCAGTAGTTACTCTAACTTCCAAGCCTGTGACCAGGGAAATCAGGACAAAAAAACAACCCCGCCTATGATTATTCAAACAGCCCTTTCATGATGTACAAGTGAGGAATATTGAACAGGGTAACTCACTGTCCAGTGTCTACAGCCAAGCCTAAAGCCTTCTTCAGCACACCTTCGTCTCAAAGTGTGCATGGGGGGGGGTTTAAAATATAAAAGGATGGTTACAACCATCATCCAGTTTGCCTCCTTCCTGCCTGCCATCTATTTCCCTCTGACAACAAGGTGGCAACCAACATCCAATAACCTAAGAACACTTCCAAAAAATATTTTATCAAATGTGAGAAAGCATTCATGTTGGTGGTTACCAGACCAGAACAATGGGGAGCACGACATCCATCATTAGCAAGGTCCCTTATTCCACCACCACCCTATGACAAATAGTACTGCTTCTGCTGCTTCTGAAAAGGGTAGCAAAGCCAGATGGGCATTTAGGTTCAACCACAGGGCCAAAGCAGAACAGTTGTTTTAATAAAATTTGTCTTGATCAGCAGATTAACTTGCTTTTGTTTTTAAACGGCCATCTGAATGTAATTTTTGCCCTCCTTTGCTTGGTCTGATTTCTTGGGCAAGAGATCCATCCCCTTAGACACATAGCACAGTGAAGGGGTATGACTGTTTCAGGAAAAGTGAGATAAATATTGTTAAGAGGCTAGACTCCATTATGAGTCCAGATTTCTAAGTCAACCAAGTTGGTATTACTCAAAACTCAGACACCAGACTAAAATGCAACCATCATCTTCAGAAACTAATGACTGCATCAGCAGAAGAGAATAGATAGTTCGAATGGTGATGGTGCAGAGAAACTTTGCTAGGCATCAGCAGTAGCGGGAAGTGCTGGAGGTGGAGGATGTTTCATAGAGATCAACAGAGACACTCAAGCCATTAGTTTTAAGCAAAAGAAGGCAATGATAAATCACTTTGGAATACTTTATGCCCCAAAAATCCTCTGATGAGATATTCCAGAATGAAACAAGAGATAACACCAGAATAGGAGGCTCTTAGACTGAAAGGCACTGAAATCAGTGGAACAGCAAAGACTAAGTACAAATACTGTACTCCTGTCACTAATAAGGCAACTGGATAAAAGCTGATAGGACATCTTGTAGTTGTCAACTGAAACAGGAAACGCTGCATGGCACATACAACTAGAATACTGAATATGAAAACTATGAATCACAGAATAAGAGAGTTGGAAGGGACTTATAAAGCCCCTGTGTCCAACCTTCTGCTCACTGCAGGAATCCAAATCAAAGTATATCTAACAGTTGATTTTCTAATTTTCTCTTGAGTGCTTCCAGTGTTGGAGTGCTCACCACCTCCTGAGGTAATTGGTTCCACTGCCATACTGTTTTAACAGTTAAGTGGTTTCTCCTGATATTCAACCGAAATCTGGCTTCCTGTAATTTGAGCCCATGATTATGTGTCCAGCGCTCTGGAATGATCGAGAACAGGTCCTGCCCCTCCTCCAGATGCTGACCTTTCAAGTATTTGAATAGCACTATCATATCTCCCCTCAGTCTTTTTTTCTCAAGGTTAAACATGCCCAGTTTTCAATCTCTCCTCACAAGGTTTGGTTTCCAGTCTCCTGACCATCCTTGTCACTCTCCTGTAAAATTCTTCCAATTTGTCTGCATCTCTTCTTGAAGTGTGGCTTCCAGAACTGGACCCAGTATTCAAGATGATGCCTGACCAGTGCCAAATAGAGGGGAACTAGTACTGCATGTGACTTGCAGACTACATTTCTGTTAATATGGCTGAAAATAGTATTTTCCTTTTTCATAGCAACATTTCACTGTTGGCTCATATTCAGCTTGTGAGCTGCAACAATTCCAAGATCTCTCTCACAAGTAGTATTTCTGAGCTAACTATCCCACATCTTGTAACTATGAATTTAGTTTCTTTTTCAAAGGTATAGAACTTTGCACCTGTCCATATTGAACTTCATTCTCTTGTTTTCAGTCTAAATGGGGCTTTCAAGGAAAGTGGAAGTTCTACCAGTTCCATATCCACGGTGAAATTCCATGGCCAAGTGGGAAATCAAACCCAGACTTTCTAAGGGAGCATGTAAAACTCTTTAAAGGACAGATTTGCAACACTGAGCTCAATTGACCACGAACCAAAAACACTATAGTTTGAAACCAAGAATATTATCAAAGAAAAATGCAAAAACACTACTCCTAGAGCCAAAAGAAAATCAAAGTTTTGAGAGATGACTGATGAAATGCTTAAAATTCTTGACAAAGATGAAAAGCAAAAGCAAAAGATGGCAGAAATAGGGTCAGAATCTTAAATACAACTTCTTGTGACTTGCTGGTAGAAACGAAGAGAACTGTTATAGTAATCTCAGCAAAGAAAGAAGAGAACAACAACAATAACAAAAAAACCACTAGATATCTCTTCCATAAGATCCAAAAAATAAAAGGGACCTTCAAACCTAGATTTGAAATGCTGAAAATATCAACAGAGGAATATCTTATTTTAGGGTAAAATAAAAGAGAAGTTGGAACACAATAGAGTCTAGATCAAATCAAGTCTGACCCTAGACACTAGGAACTGAAATGCTTTTCACAAGAAGACAGGATTCATTGGGTAATATGATAATGCTAGGAAAAGTGGGAGGCAGCAGGAAAAAAGGAAGTCCCGAGATAGCTTGACTTACTTAAGAAAGTGATGGACTTTAGTTTAGAGCAAGGCTGTTAATAAAATCTATAAGTCCTAGGGTTCCCATATATCTAAAATCGACTTTCTCCAGGGTTCACTATTGGATAATGTCATACAAAATTCTCTGTACTTCGGCTGGAGGGAAACAGACAGCTTTCCAGATTTGTGAATTAAATTTGAATGTTTACTTGCTTGAGCAAACACATTAATTCAACTTGATACCACAGGATTTTTTGTACAAAATTTGATTTGTTTAATAAGTTAATCAAACTGCCCAGAGCTAAAATCTATCAAATTAATTCCATTTCTTTTTTTTTATTTGATTGTAGCGTTTTCACAGAGTGAGGTAGTACCTCTGGGCCAGGAAATGTAAATATGCTGTGCAATTCATGTGCTTTCCCTATGTGATCAGAAGACGCTGCCAAGGTATTTGTCTTTTGAATTGGGATGCTTAACTGCAAGATGACACAAGTTGTGACACACCCAGTCGCATATAGTGGCTAAACAGGGTGGGGGTGGGAGTTCAATAAACCAGTTTTATAAACAGACCCTATTCTGGTCACATGTGGTAAAAATGAGTCCAGGGAACAAAGCAAGACGACTTAT